TTTATTTATTTATTTTTTATTTTTTTGAGTTTTCTACTTTTCAGTTTTGTTTGATTTTATATTAATTGAAAACTTAAATATCTTATTATATTTTTAGAAAAGTTTTTTTTTTTTTTTTTTTTTTTTTTTTTTTTTTTTTTTTTTGCTAACAATCTCCTATCTCCTAATACATCGGTGATCATTTTAGCGACTAGAAACATTTTATGATTTTTTTTTAATATTTTATAAATTTTGAAAGATTAAAAATTATGTATCATTTCCTGTTTTTATTTAGCCTACCGAGTGCTTCTAGTGTTTAATAAAAAAGACAATACATATGCAGATACACAAACACATGCATTGTGTTGTACTCTTCACGCATTTTATAACACTATACCAAAAAAAAGGTATTACTATATAAATATGATGAAAAAGAGGGGCCATGGCCCCCTCTATCCCTTTCTAGTCGTAGGATAAAGACATGGTAAACGGTGAAGATGAGTACAACTGTGAATCAATCGTCATACTTTATTGATGAAGATGACTGACACCTAAACAAAGCAAGAAACAAATGTCAAAGTAGGGGACCGACGATTGACACGGGCATAGAAAGGTTGAAGGCGACAAGGGAGTCCGATGATCCAAAAAATGTAAATTTTGTTTTATTTATTTATTTATTTTTTATTTTTTTGAGTTTTCTACTTTTCAGTTTTGTTTGATTTTATATTAATTGAAAACTTAAATATCTTATTATATTTTTAGAAAAGTTTTTTTTTTTTGCTAACAATCTCCTATCTCCTAATACATCGGTGATCTTTTTAGCGACTAGAAACATTTTATGATTTTTTTTAATATTTTATAAGTTTTGAAAGATTAAAAATTATGTATCATTTCCTGTTTTTATTTAGCCTACCGAGTGCTTTTGTATTATTATAATGAGAGATTTTCTGCTAGAATCCAAATATTTTTGGTCAGTTTATAGTTTTATTCCTATTTTTATTTTTTTGCTAAATTAACCCTTATTTTTTCAACATAAAATGATAGGCTATCGTATAAAATTAGATAATCTAGATTTTTTTTCGTTTAAAAAAAATAAAATTTTAAATTAAATCGTAAATTATCTCGAAATGTTAAGATTTTATCGAAGATTTTTTTGTTATAATTATAAAAATAACATTTGTTATTATACCAAATATTGTATTACTATTCATGTCACTTCAAAAACAGTGTTGCTTGTATGATTTGAAAAGAGTTACGACCGGTATGGTTGAAAAAGACACCCTCCATTTCCACCATTTTTTTCTAACTTAACTCTAGTTAGCCACATTAATGTTGCACCAACATCTTATCCTTCCTCACTTTGACAACACAAAGCTGAGGGTTGAGGTGTCAGGGAGAAGAAAACAGGGTCACCGTTACGTTATAAGCACCATCCACCATTAGCATCATCAATGGTCAGAAACCCCAAATCACACATCTCTCTCTCTCTCTCTCTCTCTCTATATATATATATATATATATATAATATATATATATTATATATATATATATATATATTATATATATATAGAGAGAGAGAGAGAGGGACATGTATCACTCCTTTACACGTTTCTCAAAACGGTTTCGTGATTTTGCTAATATAAATGATTTTAATAAAAATTGTAAGCTTCTTCATGTATTTTGATTTCATCTCTCTCTCTCTCTCTCTCTATATATATATATATATATATATATATATATATATATATATATATATATATATATATATATATATCGACAATCCAGGAAATTGGAAATAATGGATTTGTTGCTTGATTTACAGGTTTGTTCTTAAGGAAGTCATTAATGATGAGAACCTATCGTATCGAAAAGCCGTGGATCAAGTGAGCTGGGCTCAAACTGATTCATTCAAACGAATGCTTTGTAAGTTTTTCTTATTTTCTTTGGATTAATGAATGGTCTCCACCTTCATCAAGCCTAAGTGTCTCAACTTTAATGTTTATTTATTTGTTTTTTTGAATCACTTTTTAAAGGGTGTTTAACATTCCTTTTCAAATGACTTTTGGACATTTGACTTTTTCAAAAAGCCAAAAGTTTAAAAAGTTGTTTGATAACTTCAAAAGTTCTTTTAGATTAACTTTGTGAATAGAAGAAAAAAAAAGTGTTTAAGAAGTCACAAATTTGTGATTTTTGTAACTTTTGTTTTTTTTTTTTTTTTTTTCTTTTTGAATCATCAAAAGTTCATACAAACACATTTTAAAAGTTTCTTTTGGAAAAAGACGTAAATCAAAAAGTCCTTTTCTAAAAAGGACTTTTTAGTTTAAAAAGCCATCTTAAACACCCCTTTAGTTTTGTTTTTACCTATTCTTTAAGAGGAATGCTTGAGACCGCATATACCCTTATAGAGTAAATTACATGAATGGTTCCTATGGATTGGGTTAATTTACGCGTTTGGTCCATAACTTATTTATTTTAAATCGGAAAGTCCATATTGTTTGTTTTTGTTATGCGCTTGATCCTG